TGATTACGAAAATATTTGTGGAGATAGTTTATAAAATAATAATCTTTGCATTTGATATAGCTTAGCTTTTCATGTCTTCTAGACGTCTCAAGATGCTTCACAGAATATACTGTAAAGTGAATTGACTGTATATTTGTGGGCAAAACGCGGCAACCAATTGCGCACAACAGTGTCCCACAGTCGTGGATTGAGTGGCCAATTTATTATTTGTTTTTGAGGGATTATAATCCCCAGAAAAGTGATCCGCCAATCGACTAACAACCAGGTTCCTACTTACTGCTAGTTAAAGAGAAGCATGTGGAGTAAGGAAACTCGCCCAACATTTTGCCCTGCTGGGACTAGAACCCAGGTCTCTCCCTTACGAGGTGAGTGCTCTAACCACTGAGCTACAGGGCTCCTAAAATGTTGGTCAGTCAAAAATTTATTAATTAACTCTAAAGGATTATGTTTAATTTAATGTGGCTAAATGTTATAATTGATTGTAACAAATAGTCATTCATCAAAAATAATCAGAATTTTAACTGTATAAGACTGTATAATTCACACTAAAATATCAGTTAAATCACTTAATTTAGAAGGTTACTAAAATCCATTTGCTTGTTTTTACTGTGTAACCCACCATTAGGAGGAATATGAGAATGAAATCCTGCTTTCCTTCATTCCACGGTGAAGGAAAATAATCCTTTATTTGGACACTTTGTTGAGTGTCCAACACAGGCACTCAACGTATAATACGGCTAAATGATTATCTATTGTCATATTGATTTATTCATAGAAGTTGAATTCCTTCTGTGACCATTTTAAAGTTGAACATTTGACATGTACTACAAATTAAAGGAGACAAATAATATTAGCAAAAAAAACTGTAAAAAAAAGGTGTCTAATTAATTGGTCTTGGGCATTTGACAAAACAATTGACATTGTTCCTACCTCCTGTGAACATTTCATTAGAAGTGTTAAATTCAAAACACCAAATTTTAGTCATTGGTTTGAATCTCTCCCGTGGCTTAAAAGCACAACTTTTCCAAATGGAGAAAAGTTGGAGTATTGACATCTCACATTGCTTGTCTGTTAAAGGATACTGATAGTCACAAACCATTTGGTTGATTTGGGCTCCAAAAGTGGGAATGAAGGCCCTCCAGTGGGTGAACTACTGAATGGTTGGATAGGTACCTGTCCACACAGAATGAAGGAAAACAGGATGTATTCTCATATTCCTCCTATTGGTGAGTTACACATAAAAAACAAGCAACTGGATTTTTAGTAAACCTCTCAGTTAAGTGATTTAACTGATATTTGTAGGAATAATAATAATTTGGCTATTTATTAGAGTTATTAGTTTGTTACAAGTCATTGAATGATATTTATTGCTGGAGACATTTTGAATGGTATCTGTAGACTGACTGGTCCAGCCATAGACTTGTTGACAGAAAACGTATTATTGGTGTCATTTGATTTATTCTGAGTGAAACATATTGTAGGATTGCCTACCTCCCTGGCTAAAATCAAGGAATTTGCTGAATTTTTGTTCATTTAGTTTCTTCTGCTGAAAGAAATAAAATTGTGGATATTGATAATGAAAATTTTAAAATTTATAACATACATTAAACAGGGATCTGCTAGCAAAAACAACAAATTCAACTTTGTCTTTGATAGCTGCACTACCCTTAGGAGTAAGATAAATGGGGGGGGAGGGGGTGTGGTGAGGCCAGATCACTGGACTCATACAATAGTTTTGTAGTGGTGTGGGAAGTAGATATGTACTCTCCTGAAGTTACTGAAATTGAGTTGAGCTGCAAATGTTGGTGATTCATTTGTCATAAGACAGAATTTTTTATCCTGCTCCATTGCGTTACTTCAAGTTCTGAAAACCCCAGCAAATTTACAACCAGAATTTTGCTTGCTTTTCAGGATAAACAAAATTCATCAGTTATCACATTCATCAGTTGAACTTGTGTCAGCAGCTTAATCTCAATCACAGAGAATAAAGCATTTCCATGTCACACACAAAAATTTAAATTGCCTTCATCCATGAAACCATGTTCAATTTTCTGTTTTGTTATCTTTATTCCTCACATTTGATGGACATAAATTCACTGAAGCATGTCAAAAAATTTCCTGAAAGTAAGAAATACATAACACTTTTTTTTACATTCGTTGAGTTGAATTTTAAAGTGCTCTGGTTTTGTCAAAACTTGTGTTCAAAGATTACTATAGAAGCAAATTGAGTAACATAGTCAAAGAATAATGACACTATTACCTTTCTATAGCATCTGGTACAGTATAAAAATAAAACACATTGATTCCATCTCTTACCCATTTTGGGCAAACGTAATGAAACATTAAATACAATGTACAGTAATACAATCTTCCAATGCCAGTCTTTCCACCTTGGATCCAGTGGCTTAGTGATAGCACTCTCGCTTCTGAGTCAGAAGGTTGTAGGTTCAAGCGCCAGGTCAGGAATTGGAATCACATCGTCTAAGATGATGTTTCAATGCTGTGCTGGGGGAGTGTTTCATTGTCAGAGGTGCCGTCCTTTGGATAAGAGGTTAAACCGAGGACTAATATACCTGTTCAGGGGGATGTTAAAGATACCAAGGCAAACCACTTTACATTATAAACAAAACACAAAATACTGCAGATGCTGGAAATCTGAAACAAAACAGAAGTCAGCAGGTCAGGCAGCATCTATGAAGAAAGGAAAGTGAGTCAACGTTACGAGTCCTCGATTTAACATCTTATCCAAAAGACCAGATGCAAGGAACAAATGCAAGGATTATTGTTATTATTAACTCAGACCTAAAGAGAACTCCTCCCTTCTCTCCCTTTGGACCATCACTTAATTTCCCTTAATTCCTCAATCCCTCTCCCCACCGCCACCCAACCGACCTCCATCTCCTACTACCCCTGGAAAAAAATCTCCCCCCTCAGCTGCATTGGAGTCATCTGAACTCCTTCCCCTCTGGGCGTCCTCCCGCAATGACCTATCCTCCTCTTCTCCACAACTCCCTCTCCTCCCAACCTGGCCCCTACCCATCCCTTCCTCCACATCTTTAAACCTGTCTCCCCCTCCTCTCTCATCACCACCATAGCCCATATGAAACCTACCACCTGCTCGCTCGACACCATCCCTACCCCTCTCCTTACCTCACAGCTCCACCTCCTTGCCCCTCTACTTACTAACATCGTAAACCTCTCCCTGTCCTCTGGTACTGTTCCCACACCATTAAAAAACGCTGTCATCAGTCCTATCCTTAAAAAATCCTCCGTGGCCCCTTCTCTACTCCCTAACTACCGTCCCATCTCCAACCTCCCCTTCCTCTCCAAGGTCCTGGAACGGGTTGTTGCTTCACAGCTTTGCTCCTTCCTCTCCCGCCACTCCCTTCTTGAACCCCTCCAATCGAGTTTCCGTGCTGCCCACAGCCCTGGTCAAAGTGACAAATGACATTCTGTCTATCTGCGACCAGGGCTCCCTCTGCCTCCTGGTCCTCCTTGACTTCTCTGCTGCTTTTGATACCGTCGACCACTCTATCCTCATCCACCGCTTCTCCTCTCACCTGTCTCCATGGCGCTGATCTTGACTGGTTCAGATCGTACCTCTCACACCACCAGCACTTCATCTCCACAAACAGCTTCTCCTCTAGCCCCCGGACCATCTTGTGCGGGGTTCCTTAATGCTCTGTCCTTGGACCCCTCCTCTTCAACATCCATATGCTCCCTCTTGGTGACATCATCCGCAGACATGGGGTCAACTTCCAAACGTATGCAGATGACACCCAACTCTACCTCTCTGCCTCCACACTTGACTCCAGGACCACTGCTGTGCTGACTGTCTGTCAGACATCAAGTCGTGGATGAGAGCAAACTTTCCTCAGTTGAACGTCAACAAGACCGAGGCTCTCCTGATTGGGACCCGTCAGCGCCTCCACACCTCAGGCGCTGACAGCATCACCATCCGTGGTTGAACACTGCACCTTACTAAGCCAGTCCGAAACTTTGGGGGTCTTGTTTGACCCTCAACTATCCTTTCTACCCCACATCTGCGCCATGACCCGCTCTGCCTTCCCCCACCTCCGCAACATTGTCCGGCTCCGACACTGTCTCACACCGCAGGCCACCGAAACCCTCATACATGCCTTCATTACATCGAGGCTCGACTATGTAAACTCAATGCTTTGTCGGCTTCCCCAAGTCCTCCCTCCACAGGCTGCAGATCACCCAGAACTCTGCAGCCCGTGTCCTCTCCCACACCAGGCTCCGCGATCCCATCACCCCCATCCTCACCCGACTCCACTGGCTTCCCATCACACAGAGAATACAGTTCAAGATCCTGGTCCTCACCTTCAAAGCCCTCCAGTCTTGCTCCCCCCTACCTCTCTGACCTCCTAACCCCCTACCATCCTGTTCGCTCCCTCCGCTCAGCGGGCTCCGGCCTGCTTCACGTCTCACGCCTCGCTCGGCCCACTATCGGCGGACGGGCCTTCCGCCACTCTGCCCCCACTCTCTGGAACTCCATCCCCCAGTCCCTCCGTCTCGCCCCCTCCCTCGCAACCTTCAAGACCCACCTCAAGACGCTCCTCTTCGACCGTGCTTTTGATCTCCCTGCTTCCCCCCCACTGCCCTCCCCCACCCCGACCCCCGGCTCTGGTCCAGCGCCTTGGGATGTGAAAGGCACTTTACAAATGTAATTTGGTTGTTCTCTCATTGTGAACCAGGGCTGTGGCCGGAAGTCACGGTTGCTACGGCAAACAGCTACTCAGTGACCGGAAGTCGCGGTTGCTACGGCAAACAGCCACGCACTGACCGGAAGTCACGGTTGCTATGGTAAACATCTGCTCACTCATCGCGCCACGGTTGCTGTGGTAACAAGGGTGGTGACCCATCATCACACTTAACATGGTAAACAACGTGCACAGTGGCCGGAAGTAATGGTTGCTATGGTAACAGCCTAGCCAATGGCCAGACGCCACGGTTGCTATAGTAAACAGACTGCCGGCGACCGGAAGTCACAGTTGCCAGGAGGCAGTAGTCGGGAAGTTTGTGGATCTGTTAAATATGTTGGGCGACGCTTCAGGTTCGGCGGTGGACAATATTGTCACCGAGTTCGACACTTACGAGGATTTCTTGGACTCGCAGATCACGTCTCAGGATCTGTTCTATTTAGAGGTCAGTGGTCCTCACCCGAGCACCGCTCCCGCCCACAGCGGGTCAGCACCGGCACTGTCCCTCACCTCTCACTGTGGTCAGTCTATACCTCTCACTGTGGTCAGTCTATACCTCTCACTGTGGTCAGTCTATACCTCTCACTGTGGTCAGTCTATACCTCTCACTGTGGTCAGTCTATACCTCTCACTGTGGTCAGTCTATACCTCTCACTGTGGTCAGTCTATACCTCTCACTGTGGTCAGTCTATACCTCTCACTGAGGTCAGTCTGTACATCTCACTGTGGTTAGTCTATACCTCTCACTGTGGTCAGTCTATACCTCTCACTGTGGTCAGTCTATACCTCTCACTGTGGTCAGTCTATACCTCTCACTGTGGTCAGTCTATACCTCTCACTGAGGTCAGTCTGTACATCACCTCTCACTGTGGTCAGTCTATACCTCTCACTGTGGTCAGTCTATACCTCTCACTGTGGTCAGTCTATACCTCTCACTGTGGTCAGTCTATACCTCTCACTGAGGTCAGTCTGTACATCACCTCTCACTGTGGTCAGTCTATACCTCTCACTGTGGTCAGTCTGTACATCACCTCTCACTGGGGTCAGTCTGTACATCACCGCTCACTGTGGTCAGTCTATACCTCTCACTGTGGTCAGTCACTATCTCACCACTCACTGTGGTCAGTCTGTCCATCACTTCTCACTGTGGTCAGTCTGTATATCACCTCTCACTGTGGTCATTCTATACATCACCTCTCACTGTGGTCAGTCTGTGCGTCACCTCTCACTGTGGTCAGTCTTTACATCACCTCTCACTGTGGTCAGTCTGTACATCACCTCTCACTGTGGTCATTCTGTACATCACCTCTCACTGTGGTCAGTCTGTACCTCTCACTGTGGTCAGTCTGTACATCACCTCTCATTGTGGTCAGTCACTACCTCACCTCTCACTGTGGCCAGTCTGTGCATCACCTCTCACTGTGGTCAGTCAACAACAACAACAACAACAACAAGATTCCATTTATAGAGCGCCTTTCACGTCGGGAGGACGTCCCAAGGCACTGTACAGTTGGGTCAGGACCCGAGCAGGGGGGAAATGGTCAGGGTGAGGGGAGGGAAGGGAGGGAGCGAGGAGGGGGTAGAGAGTCGAGAGGGGAGCTGAAGGCACGGTCACTGTGGTCAGTCTGTATCTCTCACTATGGCAGACAGGTAATCTTATTTGGTCAGATTCTCTTAACCGAACCTCTTACTGAAGTCAGATACTCTGTACAATACAATACAAAAGTACATTTGTGTAACGTCTTTCACGTTGTGAGGATATCCCAAGGCACTGGACGGTCAGGGATTTGGACCCGGGCTAGGGTTCGAGATCGGGGAGGGTGGCTGAAGGTGTGGTCGAAGAGGAGGGTTTTGAGACGTGCCTTAAAGGAGGCAAGGGAGGGAGCGAGGCGAAGAGAATGTGGGATGGAGTTCCAAAGGGTGGGGGAAGAAATGCTAAAGTCCCGACTGCCGATGGTGGGTGGGCGGTCCGGATGGGGAACGTGGAGGAGGCCACATCCTGCTGAGCAGAGGGAGCGGACAGGTTGATATGTGGTTAGCAGATCGAGGAGGTAGGAAGGAGCAAGTCCGTGGAGGGCCTTGAAGGCGAGGGCGAGGATTTTGAACTCCATCCCCTGGGGAATGGGGAGCCAGTGGAGCCGGGCGAGGGTGGGTGTGATGGGGCCACTGAGACCGGTGTGGGAGAGGACACGAGCTGCAGAGTTCTGGATGGACTGCAGCCTGTGGAGAGAAGAGAAGCCTCGATGTGATGAATGCGTGGATGAGGGTCCGGTGCCCTGAGGGGTGAGGCAGTGGCGGAGCCGGGGTGATGTTACAGAGGTGGGGGAAGGCAGAGCGGGTCATGGCGCGGACGTGGAGCAGAAAAGACAGTTGAGACTCAAACAGGACGCCAATGTCCCGGACTGGCTTAGTAAGGTGGAGTGAGCAACCATGGATGGTGAGGCTGTCAGCACCTGGGGTGAGGAGGCGCTGACGGGAGCCAATCAGTAGAGCCTCGGCCTTGTTGACGTTCAACTGAAGAAAGTTCGCTCTCATCCAGGACTTGATGTCTGACAGACATTCTGTCAGGACAGCAGTGGTCCTGGAATCGAGGGTGGAGGCAGAGAAGTACAGTTGGGTGTCATCTACATACATGTGGAAATTGATCCCATGTCTGCGGATGATGTCACCAAGAGGGAGCATATAGATATTGAAAAAGAGGGGACTAAGGACAGCCCCGAAGAACTCCGCACAAGATGGTGTGGGGGCTAGAGGAGGAGCCGTTTGTGGAGATGAAATGGACAGAACCGTGAAGGTTGAGGTGAGAGGAGAGGAGGTGAGATTCACATTTGCTTCAGTAAGAGATTCACATTTGTTTCAGTGGGTGCAAATCACAGTGGGCTTGCTTCCCTTGTGTGGTCCTTTGAAGGGAGTGTGGAGTGGGAGGGAGTCCTGTTTCAGTGCATTTGGCTCTTTAATAACATTCGGTGAACTGCAAAATCAAGTCTTGACAAAGGACATAGGACAGAGTCCTGAGAAATGCCGCACAAGATGGTGTGGGGGTGAGAGGAAACACCGTTTGTGGAGATGAAATGGAGATAGTGTGAGAGATAGGATCTGTAGGTTACGGCTCGGCGTCATGCTCCCCCACTTTCAAGCACTCTGGGACACTACCCTGCTTGAGGAGCGCGATATAAATGCAAGTTGTTGTTGTAACATCTTTCACAGTTGTTAGATTCTCTGCATCTAACCCTTCTCACTGTATGTTTAGATACTCTGAACACAGTCTCTCTCACTGTGTAGTTGGATATTCTGTACCCACCATCCCTCTTTAAAGACTCATCCGAAGGTTGGAGCCTTCAACAATACAAGCACCCCAGCACTGTGATCAAGTGTCACGCGAAGCTATGTTAGTTCAAAGTCCTCACATAGGGCTTGAACCCACAAATGTCTGTCTCAGAGTCAACAGTACTGTCAACTGAGGAAGGCCGACACCAATATTTTGTTGCATTGAAAAGAAATGCTTTTTTGAAAGGTCAGCTACTTTTGGGGCTGTTTCTGCTGCATTTTTGTATGTTTATGAAATTTTAAAATAAAAATGATTCCTTTGGCTTGCTTACAAAAGGCCAGAGGTTCACAGATTTTTCTTTAATTAAACCAAAATCAGGGCACATGACCTGCTATGTAAATATCAGCTTTTTCTCCAATCTGTGCACAAATCTGGGAGTATATAATATATGAATGGGCACAAGATCTGACCTGCTTCCATTAATCGCATTCAGCGTCTTTCTAGTAATTGAACTAACATTGTAATTAACATTTCAAGCTGATACAGAATTTTTCTGTGTTGGGTGTACCTAATATATGAAGGGAAATTTACTTTGCAGTATTGCATCTTATTTAATTCCTTTTTTTATGCTTCAAATTTGTAGAGAGCTGTAATTACCAAATAAAGTCTAAAATTTCTAGAATATGACAAAGTGCTGTTTAATTAATTTTACAAAATCTTACATTTCATTTTGTGTACTAATGCAGTATTTCTTGCAACTTAGATGTACTTTTTAATTCAGCATTATAAAATATTCTCTTATCATAAATTCAATATTGCAACTTCATAATTGTTTTGAGAGCAATTCAATCTGTAACTCACATCCTGGTTGATTTTTTTTAAGTCAGATGTGGGTCACATTGCTTTATGGCCCATGTATTGTATCATTACAATTTAAGTGGACTGTTGCTTCAAGCATCCATGTGGTGGTGGCTTTTATGGATGTCAAATATATGTATATTTTTTAATTTAATTGAGTTCTGCTGACAACATAATTTTATGCCAGTAAATGTTAACCACTTCAGCCCTTATAAATTTTTAAGTTTGGTAATTATTACTGTGTGCATTTGCAGACTTGCCAGATATTACTTAGTTCAATAAAAGAGATCATAGTTAGAGTACTTACTAAATACTGCAAATTATAATCCAAAGAAATAGCATGGTAATTTTTCGATTTGTTTTAATTTTTGAAAATTGTTCTCATCTGCATCCTTACTCACAGCCTTTATAGATCTCCTCACATATTCACTCCTTGCTGTGTGACAGATTACCACAATTCAGGCAGTACTTTGTATGTTTACATTTTTTTAAAAAGCGGTTTCAGTTTATTTGTAAACATTCAGAAGGAAACAATTTGCATTTGTATTCTGCCTCATTACATTGAAACATCTCACAGTGCTTTACAGGTAATTTTATCAAACATAATAACTACTTTGGTTAGCAATTTCAGCAAACTTTTGATGGTAAATGTGGCAGTCATTTCTGCCATAATGGGAAAGAGTGTTATTAGAAATCTGATGCTGAAATACTGGCTTGGATGTACCAAAGTGCAGGAAATTGGAATTCAAATGGGCTTTCTTTGGGTACCCAAAAGCACAATGAAGTGGGTTAAACTCAATTTTGATAATCCTCGTTCAGATATTAGTCAAAATAGCAATTCTTGGATCACTGGACACGTCTGTGAAGTGTGAGTGATGCTAACCTCAACACATCTCTTCTTGCACACATTGCTAGCATGCAAGATAGATTGTGTACAGTATAGGAACTTTTAATTGGAACTTTTAATTATCCCCTCACGCAGGTGATTTTATGTAGATATTCCTTATCCTGACATAAAGCCTTCAGGCTGCCCCCTATTTAATTAGCTTAGTTGGATGATAGAAAAAAAATCTAAAAACCTTCTAAAATAGTAAAACACAACAGATTTGGAGATAATAGAAGTCACTAGTTTTCCAAGGTAACTGGAGAGGTAAAGAAGTAATGGATCTAACTGTTTCTCCTGCAATGGATGTGCCAAATCCTGAAATACTAATCTTTTCTGAGCAGTTGATTCAGTAATTGCTAGAGAAAATGTTGCAGATAGCGGCTTTCCTATTTGAATCACTTCTGGATTCATACATAATACAATAATAACATTT